TAAATTATTATTTTTAACAGACCGGGACAGGAAATCCGTTAAAAATTCATAACTTCTTCATCCGACGTCCGTTTTCGTCTGTCTTTTTACCGTTGTGCTACTATTGACGAGACCTTAGATTCTCGTTTAGGTCGTGTCGGCTAAAAATCACTCGATCTAAAATTCGAGTTTTTAGCTGTCTACTGCTAAGCTGAAACTTCGAAAAATCATAACTTCCTCATACGAAGTCAGATTTGGGCGTTCTTTTTATACCTACTCTCGGTTTAACGAACACTACAAGTTTCGTTTAGATCACTAAGGCTAAAAAGTAGTTTATCAAAAACTCACTTTTTACGACATTCAGCACCGTGCCGGTTTTGTCGTGAAACTTCGACAGGTCATAACTTCTTCATTATAACTCGGATTTTGGTATTCTTTATATATCTGTAATCCTTGTCACGACCACTACAACTTTCTTAATAGATATCGGCTTTATCTAATATTTACTTTCGACGCTCATTTTTATTCTTAATTAATTAACTCCTAGTAATTAAGCATAAAACACATAAAACACATAATATTCACATAATTCATTTTCATTTCTTCAAAATGAGTTACAGAGGTTAACCTAGACTATCCTATCAATATTAATGCCTAGCCTAGAAACATGGGCATTACATATACCTTATGGAAGATGATGAAGAAGAGTAGAATATGGATCAACAAGCTCCAAGCTAGCCAGCACTTCTATAATGAGCTCCTTCTTCTTAAAGAAGCACCAAAAACACACCAAATCACCCAAAGAGCTCAAGAATCTCACAAATGGGGCTAGGGGTTCGAGGGGGCTGCTTTGGGATAATGGAGGCTAGTGATGAGAGAGGCCTTGAGGTTATAAGGTGTATAAATAGGACCCAAACCCTAAAATTTAGGTTTTTTCATTCTGCATGAGTACTCCCAGCGTACCCATACGTACGCCCAACCTACATAGAGGAACCCACGATCAAATTAAATAACCTACGCCTGACGTACCTATCACGTACGCCCAACATATGGACTGATTTTTCAAACTTTTAATAATTCTAGTCCAAAATATAAAGTACCTGGAACGAGGGTGTTACATTAATGCATGAGATACATATTTGGGACTTGAGTGTATGGAATGCTATAATTTGATGTGGTCAAATGTTGATATTTAAACATGTAGTTATAAATGCCATTATCAAGCATCGTATGAACTATACAAGAGGTGTATGTAGTCAAAATGAGGTTTATTTTTCTTATGTGTTGAGAGTTAGACATCTAATGCACGTTACAAAAAGTTGAATACCTAATGAGATTGATCGTGATCCATATCTCGTGTTCAACAGGAAGTATGTAACAATGAGATAACTAATAAACTTACCTTATACATCAAATGAAGCTTTAAGCTTTTGGGGAATTGGATCTTGATAGAATGACACTAATTCATGTGTTATTGGGGGCAATGAAATGTTGCTAGATGTTCACCACTATCTATATCAATATATGATCAATCTCGTGTAAGTGAGAGATTGAAAGATATATATGCTCAAGAATCATTATAGAATGATATTTGTTAATATATATTTCCCTAATTAAAGGGTCTCACTAACAACTTGATGTAAATATATTATTTATAAGACCAAAGGGCTTTTAACCCAACGGTATCAGACATTGCCCTCCCTTTGTGAGGTCGAGGGTTCAAGTTCTGTTGTGGACAATGTTGGATTTATGTGTTAGATTAAGAGTAGATTAGACTAGCCGGTTCAAAAAAAATATATTATTTATAAGAATTTGATTCTTAATAAATACTAATAACTCTTGTAATTAATTGGAAATTATTTATTTTTGGAAAATAATATTATTTCAATATAAGTATCATAATATATCACAATATATGATTTATTAAGTCATGAATATTCTTTTGGATTAGAAAGACTTTTGTCTTTTAGCTAAATGGATAAGGGTTTATAACTTATAAAAGAATGTGAGATTTTTATAAAAACTATTTCTTTTTTATAACCAAAACCGTATCATGCATGAAAAGGGACAAGACGAGGCCTTTTGATTATTATATTAAGACATAAATGCCTCTAAAGTATGTCATGACATAATCATAAAGCATGTGTCTTAAAGTGCTAAGACCTATGTGATAAAGACTTAGGGCGTGTTCGACAAGGAGCATTTGGGAGCGTTTGAGAGCTTCTAGCTTTTAGCGTTTGACAAAATGCTCCGTTTTGAACAGAAAGCATCGTTAGAAACTTACAAGTTTCTAGCGTTTAGTTTAAAGAAACGCACCAAATCGAAATGCTACTTCATGTAGCATTTAACAAAACACTACAAGCTACAAGCTACCTGCTACCAGTTAGTTTTGCAGAACACACCCTTAAGCGAATAACCTTAAAGCTAGTTTTACTTCTTCATTTCTTACTTGATCAAAGCCGTATAGCGCTCTTTCTCGATATATTTTCTCTAGTTTTCTTAAGGTGTTAAGAAGAAGACAGAAAAAATTGATACTTTATACTCTCATTTAAGACAAAAACTTTGTTTTGTTCTTAAAGGCTTAAGAGTGTTCTTATTATTACAAGAGTTAATGACTAACATCTTATAAAGTTGACAAATTATTGGTGTTTCTACTAAGATGGAGTTTTATTTTACATTCTTCATCACCTTCCAACCTCCAAGAGCACTCAAATACTTTAAAGGTTTTCTTCCTATGGTTGTTTAAATCTTTTCATGTTTTTAAAATGACTATTGATCTGTTAAAATAGTTTAAGTTTATTCAACAATTTTAAACTTCTATTGTTGTTTCTAGTGTTTTTAGAAACTGTTTTTTTTTTTAATAAAATCCCAATAGCCTCATGTTTGGATCAGGCTGTATTATGTTTGCTTCACCCATCGTCTTCATCTTCATCGTCTTTGATTGGATTTTATCGGCGATCAACGATGACGGTTTTGAAGGATACCCTAGAATTGTTTTCTTGTTTATAATTTACCGGCGATCTCAGCTTCCGATCGTCCCATGATTTGTTTTTGTAAATCAATTTGCATATGGAAGTGTATTGGTTTTTTTGCATATAGGGTTGTGTTTTTTGTTTATAGAGGTTTTACTCCAAGAAAGAAGATACTACAAGTTTGTTCATCTTATCTAAGTTCTTGGATGAGCAGGTTTGAATTTTGGATTTTTTTCAGGACATAATTTCATTGTTTTTTACATGCAAGATGAGGATGAGTGTTATACACCGAAGCTCAAGTGTTCACGATTGCTTCTTTGATTCCCACCTATTTGTGAGATGCATTGGTGGTTGGAGGTTTTCTGAAGTCGAAATCGCCGGAGTTGGGATGAGGGTATTGGAGTCGGGAGAAAGGCCGACAGAAAAAGAAGGATGGGAAGGAAGGGAGGGATCAAGGGGGTGATTGGCCCTAATTGTTTTATTATAATATAAATATTGATTAAACCAACATTTCAGTAATTTATTGTGTTCAATGAAACGTATCTTGTTAAATGAATTATTTGAATCAGTTGCATGTGACTTTTGTTTAAAAGCTTACTGTTCATTTTGCACAACCGATAAAACAAAAAGGTAGTGTCACTTGTTGGCTTCCTTGCCCCATCATACCCCACATGATATTATTTGTCAATAATTTTTTTTATTATTGGCCCTATGATCATATATTTTCTATATTTTTCTATCTTTCATTTGTTAAAGTTCAGATGAGTTGAAATAATAGGTGAAATCATTACATTATTCATTGAAACCAAATCGCTATGGGGTCGACCATTGGATTTTACGTCATTCTCACTACATGTAGATCACGACCTATCGGCCTTGAACATCCGTTAACTGTCTCATGCCCATGTGCATGGTGAACAATTACCTATCATTAACCAGATTGAGATTCAAGAAAATTAACTTTAATCACAGTATAATATTCAAGTAGTTTCAAATTGAATGAAATAAAGGAATCATATATCATATATTATAGTAAATTTAAAACATTTTAGAGTTCAATAAGTTTTGATTTAATCACAATATACAATGATCTTTGCAACTGAACATGTAATCTTATTAGTTTTCTTTGTGATCCATGTGATTTATTTTTACGACCAAAGTCAAATTACATGAAGGCTAGTTATATTATACATACAGATAAATTAATGTTAAAACTAGAGAGTATATAAATATAAATGACATTGTAATAATAATTTATGAAAATACTTCTTGGGAAATTGATTATTGTTGTCAAGTTTGTTAATCAAACCCTATTAGATGAGAAATTTCTATTGTATACGACTTTTATTTAAAAGGAAAGCTATTCATTCAACATAAGAGATAAAAACAAACGACAAAACGACCATCTACCACGTTCTATCATATCTTTTTTCCACTGCTTTCTTTTTCTTAAGCCGTATGACCACATGGTTTATAATCTTTTACAATTTTGGTCCATTCAAGATTAGATAATTAAAAATGTGATGGGAATCATTGAATTGTTAAATTGATGTAAATGTTATAATGTCTATCGTCGATAATTTACTATCACATCAACATCTTGATAACAATCCATTAATAACATTTCACATCCATAAAATGGTTCATGAGTCATGTTGACGTGGTGAACGAGACTAGACCACATATAGACGTCTTGATCAGAGTTTAAGAAAACAATCATGGTTCATGAATCAGCTCTATTTTTTCAATAAAGCCCATTTTAAAGAGAATTTTATGATTGTATATTATATTATTATTGAAACTATCATTTGAATGATATGGTTTTTTATCTTTTGTATAAAGAAAACCATCAATTTGAATAATACGACAAAAAGCACACCGTTTATAAATAGTTAAAGATTTAATATGAGACTGATAAAAGGACCAAAGGATCTTAATAGTCACATGAAGAATGATTCGATGACGAAAAGAAGAATCACAATATTATTTTATTCAACACATAACACATGATGAAATTTGATGATATACTAATAACAATTTGATTCAGATTCACGCCGGAAAAGTGTGATCGGCGGCAGACCTCCAGACGATGTCTCTAAGCGCCGGCCGGAGCTCGTTGCTACAGAACTGGTTGTATTCCAGGGTGTCGCCGCTAGATTTCTTCACTTCCACCACCAGAAACGACGGAGTGACGGCGAAGAGCTCCGCCGCTATCCCTAACTTCCCTTTTCTTCCATTTTCATGCCCCTGCAACCTTAAACTGCTCTCGTCGCCGCTCTTCTTGACGCTAAACTTCATAGACTTCGCCACTTCTTCCAGCTTCGACACCACCGCCTCCGCCTTCTCCGTCGTCGCAAACCTCATTTCTTCCTTTTCCTCCCTCTTCTTCTCTTCAAACAACGGCGACAGATCGAATCCTTCTGATAATGAAATGATGTGAAACGCATTCAATGTTTTAGCATCCTTGCCTTTAGATTGTACTCCTTCGTCTTCAATCAAGAACTTGGAGGTCTTCGGCGCCGACTTCTTAAACCAGGGTGATTCCATGATCTTCGAGATGGTAATCCGAGTGCTCGGATTTGGGTCTAGTAATTTTGTGATCAATTTTCGAGCGTCGGATGAAAACCACGGTGGACATTTGAAATCCCCCCGGTAAATCTTCCGATACATCGCGACAATGTTCTCGTCCTGAAAAGGCAAGAATCCGGCGAGAAGAACGTAGAGGATAACACCACATGACCAGATATCGGCTTTTGCTCCGTCGTATCCTTTTTTCCCGATTATTTCCGGTGCGACGTACGCCGGAGTCCCACACGTCGTGTGTAACAGTCCATCCTGCCGGAGATGATCGCAAAAAGCGCTGAGTCCAAAATCCGTCACTTTTAAATTACCTTCTTCATCTAACAGCAAGTTCTCCGGCTTCAGATCGCGGTGATACACACCTCGGCTATGACAAAAATCAACGGCGGAAATGAGCTGCTGGAAGTAGCTTCTGGCAACATCCTCTCGCAACCGCCCTTTTGCAATTTTTGAGAACAATTCACCGCCTCTAACGAGTTCCATGGCGAAGTAGATCTTCGATTTACTCGCCATGACCTCGTAAAGCTCGACAATGTTAGGATGACGTACCATCTTCATCACCGAAATCTCTCGCTTAACCTGGTCCATCATTCCGACCTTAATAACCTTCTCTTTCCCCACAACCTTCATCGCCACACTTTTTCCGGTATGCACGTTCTTCGCATGGTACACCTTCGCAAAAGTGCCGTGACCTAGCTGCCGGCCAAGCTCGTATTTTCCATGTAGGACGCCGTTGTTTCTGTCTTCACCTGCCATCTGTTCGACGAAATGCTTCTGTAAATTACAAAGTAAAAGAAATAGGCACTAATCAGGCGTGTAATTCACCCGTCTTCTACGTGTTTCCGGTGGCAAGTTCTGCCGCCGATGGGTCGTTTAGCCCTTCCTCGGTTAGACAGCCGCGAATCTCCACTCATCTCTCTGCATTCCCTAAGTAGAATTCGTATTCTCACTCTTAATAACTATTTTTCTGGTATTAGGGTTTTCTGAATACGAGGTGATTATATAGGCGGTTTCAGAGGGGGAAATTACTTTTCTATCCCTGAGATTGGAATCTGATCCAACGGCTGTAGATTAAGCTATGTATCTGGACAAGAGTCGCTATCGGACGTCCGAATTGCAGTTATGATTGTGGACACGTTACGAACGATTATACGACGATATTGAGAGGTCTACAAATACGTACAAAAATATATATATATAAAAAAAATGATGATAATTTTTTTTAGGGTTATTGCTATTTTATAAGAATCAATTATTTAAAATGATTGATTTGATTGTTATCACATTTAATAAATAAAGTTTATGTATTTTGTTTGTTAAGGGTTTCGCTATCGGAGAATATTATTGATGTCAAAAAAACATGACAACCGGTATATGAATAAAGTTGCACAGCAGACGTTGGTTGCGTGTCTATTTGATAGGACTTTGGAGATGTTAGGGGTTGTTTGATAGTTGCTAATTGGGTTAGAAGCTGACTGTGTTAGAAGCTGACTGAGTTAGAAGTTCTGACCGAGTTAAATTCTGACTGAAACTTGTTGTTTGATTTTGCATCTGACTGTGCAAAATGACTATAATACCCTCAAACAACATTTTTTTTGAAAAAAATGCCTTTATGATTTTACCATTTAACTTGTAACATACAATTTTTTATAAAAACATTCAATATGCATTAAAAAATAAAAAAAATTAAAGATTTAAACTATAAATCTTTCTGTCAACCTAAAACTCAAATGATTGAAACTTATTAAAGAAACTGATCTTGAAATCTTACAAATAAAAGAACTACAAAATACTTGCATATTTCATAAGACCTCCATGAATCACACTCTTAATTCATATGTATAAAGATAGAAGAAGGGCAAATATGGGCAAAACTGACCCACTAGAAACAAGATACTGTACACCTATACATAATTCTCAATGAATAATAAGAACTATATGTTTCTTGAGTTTTCAATGTAAATTCAAGAATATAATAACCATTGAATTATAAAAACCTTATCTCCAGGATTAGAAATGAAATCCCCCATAGATGGTGTGCACTCAAATTTTCCAGATACCATTTTTTTTTAATTTTGCTACTCTTGATAAAAAATATTTGGCATGTGCAAGCTTGACATCTGCTCATTATGTACAGAATTCAAAATTTCAGATAAGATAGCAACATCAAGATGTTTAAGAATATCAAGAATTATTGGGAACGAGCTTTCCACCTGTCATAACATTAACATTAACAACAAAAAACCAAAATTTATGCAGATTAAAAAGTTAGAAATTAATTCACACAAAAAGTCTTTGAATCCTTTTTCTCATAGCAGGTTCGCTAATATTCATTCTAATAAACAAAAACCTGTTTATTCACTTCTCAACTTATTTGACCTCGTGGTTTGTGGGGCACCCATCTAATTTCCAACACATCAATCCAAGGAAAATCACCGAAGACAGGATCATTAGTAACAAATTAATGAATATCTATGAATTGGAATCCCAATCATGTTTGCGAGGCACCTATCTGTCGATTCGGTTTCTAAAAGGGCAAGAAGTGTACAATAATCATACCTAATCGATTGTGTATCTGCCGTTGATGGTGTTGCCGGTGTGTGTAGTAGCGTCGTTGGTGGGTTGATGGAGAAGAATCAAAATATTTATATATTTATTTTAATAATTAAAAAAATAAGAGAGGGTATCTCTCTCTCTCTCTCTCTCTCATGCTACATGACTCATCCCCCCATCTCTCCCCTTTTATTCTTTTTCTTCACGCGATCCGTGTAATCCTAAAATAAATCAATTTCTTAATGACCGATTGATTTATTCAAGATGTGAAGAAGACACACATTGTGTATCACTTCAAAGGTGAAAAATCATTCCAGGTATGCAACAATCATCTTTTTTCTTACTGCTTTATAACTTCCATTGATAACTTCACTCAACATTTTTAGCCTCACATTGATTTCACAAGTAAAAAATGCAAGTGATGTGGGTTTTGTGAAAAGGATCGCATCAAATTCGATGATGTATTTGATGAATGGGAAATATGTCCTTATTTTACATCCCCTAATGATTGATACATTCACACCAAAGACAAAGAATTCTGTTAAATGTGACTCGAGCATTTGGAGCATTCTCATGGAGTATTTGGAGCATTCATATGGAGCATTTGGAGCACTTTTATCTCAATGGAGCACTTGAGTTTCATGGAGCAAGTAACAAAAGGAACGGGTCATCTAAGATGGCTTTGGATCATCTGACAAAGGAACGGATCTTCCAAAAGGGGGTTTGGAGCAACTTGGAGTGGTTTGGAGCAAATTGGAGTGGCTTGGAGCAACTTGGAGTGACTTGGAGCAACAAGGAGCAACTTGGAGCAACATCGAGCAACTGGGAGCAACTATGAGCACTTGGAGCAACATAGAGAAACTTGGAGCACTTGAAGCAACATGGAGCATCATGTTGTGCCATTTAAAAGGAAGTTGTGCCATCCTTGGGGATGTTGTGCCACATGATAGCATGATGTGCCATCATGTCTAAAGTTGTGCGAAGGTGATGTTGAGCCAAGGAGATGTTGAGCCATGAAGATGATGTTGCTCCATCGAGAAGGGAAATTGTGCCATGGAAGAGATGTTGTGCCATCATGGACCATCTTGGTACATGATGCACCATCTTGATTCCTTTGTTGTGCCACGTTGATCCACGTATGCTTAGAAGATGATCGTGCTCAATAAATACATTATGTTGTGCCACCATGATGGATGTTGGACCATTAGTGTTCATGATGCGCCACTTGTGCATCATGATGCTCCACTATGGCCAAGGTGGTCCATTATGTGTGTTGATGATGATCATGGATTGTATGACATGGAAGATTGTTCTAGAATATGTTGCATGGCGGAATATGACAGGTTGTCACCTTTCATGGGCCTATGGGCCAATGGGCTTGACCCTTTCGGGTTTTAGGTCTGATTTCTCAACTATAAATAGATTATCTGCTTAGTCATTTAAGGTGTCTTTTATCTTGTATCCTTAGTGAGTAGGACGAATCTCTGGTGAATTATACTTGTAACCTCTGTTTGAGAACTCTGAAATAAAGAATACTCCCCTCCTGCTCGTGGACGTAGGTTACTTGAGCGAACCACACATGTAACGCTCCGATTCCCGAGTATCAATTTATAGTTATAAATTCTCATGGTTTTAAGGTCTACTCAACGAGTTGGTGGCCTGACTCGCCGAATAGCAGCGGGTTGCTCCACGAGTTTAAGTAACCTACTCACCGAGTCCAAGAAGGGACTCGACGAGTAGGAGATGGCAGATGAAACCCTAAATTCTGGGGAGTTGCACCCTATTTAAGGACCACTTATTCCCCTTAGCCTCTCTTACTGCCTCCCTTGAGTTCAGAAACCCTAATTCATGGTTGCTCTCTATAATTGTGTGCTCCTTAGCTTGGAAGAGGGATCTTTGGAGTAAAAAAGCTTGGAGTTCAAGAAGTTTGGAGCAAGGGGCTGTTGTAGATCCGAATTCTTCTCTGTCTTGGCATCATTTTGGAGGTAACAAGTTGTTACCTTGGCTCTCTCTTAGTTAGATCCCCTCATTATGGGTTGGGATTTTAGGGTTTTGTGGTGGTTCTCCAATTTGGGTCAAGATCTGAGGTTGCAATCTCAGATCTGGACTCCTTTAGCCCCTCTTTGTCATAAAGTTCGAGTCTTTGTTGAGCTATGACCTTTACCTTACCTTAAGCCACTCCTTTAGCTTGTTTTGGGCCATTATCACCTTGCATGCACGTAAAGTTTGCAACTTTACATGATAAACATGCCCTAGGAACTCAGATCTGCAGTATGGAGTCTTTTCATGACCTAAAAAGCATCTGTATGGTTGAAGGATTGAAGGGACTCGGCGAGTCGCAAGGTCGACTCGGCGAGTCATAGGAAGATGGTCATGAACTCGACGATTTGGATGAACAACTCGGCGAGTCCGATGAAGATTGCCTTGGGCTCGGCGAGTCAGATGAGTGACTCGGCGAGTCGGCTAGGGTTTTCCCAACATTTGGACATGTATGAATGCGGCGAGTTGTAAGGGGAAAACTCGACGAGTTGGCCAAGGAGTTTACGACCACTGACACTAGAAACTCGACGAGTCACTCAAGTGACTCGGCGAGTTGGCGAGTTATGTCAGGAACTCGGCGAGTAGCTGAGAGTACTCGACGAGTTGAGGTCAACATGTACTGTTGACCTTGATAGTTGACTTTAATCTCGACCAAGGGTTGACCAGTTGACTTCTGAGGGTATTTTGGTAAATTGAATATTGATAGCAAAGGACATTGGTGAATATAGGTGTTGGAATTGGAGCTACATTTGGAAGAGTTTGACACTACCTTCCGAGCTACTTGCGAGGTGAGTTATCCTGACTGTACTCAAGGGTCTAAGGCACCAAGGCCGTCCCTTTTATTTGTATTTGGAATTGATATTGTTATGATATGTTAGATCGGTATCATGGTAGATAGGATGGTTGTATGTTGGTATGATCTGCTAGGTCGGTATTCTGGTAGACAGGATGGTTATACGTTGGTATGGTATGATAGATCGGTATCCTGGTAGAGAGGATGTGGTTATGCTTAGAGACATGTAGTTGGTCTAACTGGC